TGGTATCCAAAAGCAATAAGCACAAATTCAAGAAAGAAAAAACAGAATGGAATAAAGAAAAAGAGAAGGGAAAAAGAAGACACGAGTACCTCATCTAACATGTTAATAAGTTTAGCTTTCTTCATCAGAATCTCCTGTCTTTGAGCAGTTGTAAGTTCAGTTTCACAACCCTTAATGCCAAAGGCCTGAACATTGACACCTGTCGATTCTTTGATTATCTTCCGTTTCTCTGCTGCCTCTCCGGCCCCCACACCACAGATTTTTGTGCCTTTTCCGACGACTACGAGCTCATCGAGAAGCTGTTGAGCAGCCTTAAGATATTTGGATCCCAAAATCACACTTTGCAGATTACTGACTCCATTAGACCCAGCAGAGAGCGATGAAGATGAACCAGGTTTCGGTGGTATAATGATATCATGATTTGTAGGAAGAGACCTATAGCCTATCTGTTCAGGTGAAAGGGTCAAAGATAACTCTTGTGGTTTCGGTGACACCGCGGGCCTTAGGGAACCACCGTCCTTAGTGTCACCGGAATTGATTGCAGCCACCCCAGAAGATAAGTTCTGTTGATTTACACCACCGGCTTGATCAACCGACTTCCATAGATTGTAGTGGACACGAGGGATTGTACCATGGGAGGCTTGAATTTCTTGCTGGCCAAGAACTGAGGAATGGTTGTGATAGTACGTATTGGGCGATCCAACGGCTGCAGAAAGTGGGACACCAACAAAGTGGTGAGACTGAGGCAGCGGGGCGTGAGATATCTGTGCAGTGGTGACCGCGTGTCCCTCCATGGCGGCGGAGTTAAAAAAGAGCATGTTGGCCGGTTTCTGTACTGTTGTATTGTCAGAATACCCTACATAATTAGGGTTCATCAGAAAAAGTGTCTGTAGACCATCAGCTTGGATTTCTGAGCTTCCTTGGTAGTACATGGCTGTAAATTTCAACAAAATAAATAGATTTTGTAGCTATAAATTCCTTTCAGAATCATTCACCAAACATCCTTAAAAATCGGCTTTTTACTT